AGAAAAACATTTTAAAATGTCATTAAGCTGTTGAGGCAATGAAAGCATGGTAAGGATTTACCAGGCAAAGGTAAAGGGAGAGGAGACCCCGGGAGGTGCGCAAGCACACAAGCCACTTTTGACTTGAGGGCATTTGCTAGTTCCAGAGATTCTGATTCTTAAGTCTGATAGCCTTAGGGTGAAAGAGATGCAAACGGAACCCAGAGGCCACATAGGGTGGAGGGTCTATGGGAATGTAGCCCCAGCATAATCAGGGAAAACGCACATCACATCTTCACAGTGAGAATAAAGCGAAAGGGACAGGCCTGGACTGGAACTGATTCCCAGTACATTGCTTGACTTCCTTGAACTTATTTAAAAGAGTTCTGCGCAGTTGTGCTGAGGCATTTAACGTAGCAAATGCAAATCCTCCCCCAAAAGTAAAACTTCACTGTGTACCTAAACGTAATGTTTAAGTAACATTTCATATAATGCTAGAACTCAGTCAGATAACCAGCAACAAAAGCAAAATAATCTTTGTAGATAGAAGATGGAAAGGGGAAGAGAGCAGCTGTATAGTAGAGAAGACCAGAAACATCACTTAAACCAAGGGGTCAAGGTCAACAGTGCTAGTGAAGACCCCCCTCCCTCGGTCCTCCACTTTCTGTCCTTGTCCTGAGCATCACAAGACTCGTCCGTCACCAGGCCCGCCGCAAGGACTGATGTTCTCCTATAGGACTGAACCCAAGCCAGGGCACTGAACATTTCTAGGCACTGATAAACTTCCTTAGCTTGTTTCCAGAGATACTGAATTAACCCCAACCCTAAGCCCCCTCTATGAGCCCTCATTTAAACTCTGTAACCTGGGCCCTCATTGTGGACATACATACACAGGTAGAACACTTCCCCGTCCTTCACAAGCACCATATCGCCAGTTCACCTAGGGAGTGCACCGGCCCCATCTCTGTGGTGCTTAGTGATGCTTTCTTTGGAATTCCATCTGGCCCCCACCTCAAGACAAGTTGGGGCAATCATTTGTGGAAATTTCCTTGCTACTCTTTTGGAGGCAACTCCAGCCAGGAGGGCAGCTGGACAGAACAACCAGCGATAAGTCAAGCCGATGTCATGCCTCCCCCCGATAGGGTGTAATGAGAAAGGCACATCACCTTTAGGGTTTTCTTTCCTAAAACCTGCAACTCCGCTGGAACCATGAGAAAAGCATAAAGGCAAACCCCAAGCAGAAGACAAAAGCCTGGCCAGCATTCTTCAAATGGTCAAGGTCATGAAAAACAAGGAAAGACAGAGAAACACACAAACTGGAAGACAGTAAGGCCGCAGAAACACAAGGAGCTGTCCTGGGATGAATCTTGCAAGAGGACAACGTTCATGGAAAAACCTGTGAGGCTGAGAGGTCTGGAGCTACCTATAGCCATACCGGTCTGAACGCAGCCGATCTCATCTGAAAAGTCTGGAGTTTGGTTAACAGCGATGTATCAGTATTGTTTTTTTTTTCATTTTGACAAAAGCATCAGAGTAATGCAAGAAGATAAAATCAGAGGGAAATATAACTGGGTGCAGAGCAGACAGCAGCACTCATATTATCTTGGGAACTTTTCTGTAACTATCTAGATATTCCAAAATAAAAAGTTTATTTTAAAAAAATCCTTGCAAGAACCAGAAGAAACAACACAAACCAGGGCCACCAACATTCTACACTGAAAATATGAGATGCTAACTGTAAAATTTGTTTTGTTTGCGTGGGACTTTTTATTTAAGAAGGAAGGCATCACCTATAACAATGCAATGACAAACACTTGCTCTGGGGCACGGGGATCAATGCAGGCAATTGCTATCACAACTTCTATTTAATATAATACCTGAAGTCTTGGCCAATGCAATAGGCAATAAAAGGAAATAATAAATATAAGGATCTGATAGGGTTAATAATACTCATCATTTACAGACAATATAAATTCATAAATATATATTCTATAAATTTGTATTTAATTCATTCAAACTAAAAAGAGTATAGCATAGTTCAAGGTATTTTTAAATCTTAGTGACAAATAGCTAGAAAATTGATTTAAAATACATAGTTTATAATAGCATAAATATACCAAGTAATTATGAAAAAAATCTAGCAGAGGTACACAACCTGCAAAGAGGAAAGTACACATTTTATTAAAAAATATTTTGAGAAGCTAAGGGTATAGCTCAGTGATAGAGCAAGTGCCTAGTATGCCCAGGGCCTGGGGTTTAACCCCCAGCACTGCAAAAAAGAAAAAAAAAATTTTATTGTATTATGTATGTATGTATTTATTTTATTTTATTTTTTCCAGTATGGGGAATCGAACTCACAACCTTGCACTTGCCAGGCAGATGCTGTGCTGCTGAGCTAAATCCCCAGCCCCGAAAAAAAATATTTTAAATAAATAACATACATATATCAATATTGACAAAATGCCAATTCTCTTCAAATTACCCTGTAGATTCGATGTAATCCCAACAAGGTTTTGATGAGCTGATTTGGAAATGCAAGGATCTGAGACACTTTGAAGGAAGAGGACAAGGTGTGCTCTGCCGGACGTCAGCAGTCAGCAGGACGCGCCCATCACTATGCTAGTGTGGTGGTGACATAGAAGCAGTTATCCCAGGCCCATGGCAAAGCAGAAAGAACAGAGATGCACACCCAGCTTGAAGGCCAAGGGTGATCAAACAGTGGTGTCCTCAGAAAAACGGTAAGAATCAAAGTAGAGTCTTGAAACTGTCACTCAGACGGGAAACAATTTAGTCTCAGATAAGACAGGAAATGTGGGAAAAAATGCTCAGGTCATATGTGAAGAAGTGGAAAATTTGGGGTTCACCACTCGGGCCAGGCCTAAGAGAGGTGGTCTGTGATGCCACCGCAAGCACGTGAAAAAATAAAGGAACACAGAATGCAAAATGCAGGCAGAGTGAATGTATAAGAACAGCTCAGAAAAGACCAGGAGAATGTCCCTGAAGGGTGTCACACCGTACAAGAGCTAAGTGCAACAAATGTGTGAAAATGAGACGCAGCCTCAAGTGGAGCATGCAGGGCTGGGAAACAAGGTTAGATCCCCTCTTGGAAAGAAACTCCGTCAGTTTTTTTTAAATTAGAAATTATAAGAAACACACTTATTAAACACTAAATAATTGTCATGGGGGGAAAGTTAGAGGCAATCATTATGAATGCAAAGTAAAAACTCAAATGAAAGAGGGCGGATCAAAGCTGTGGATGCTGAAGCTGGTCCAGTGTAAGAACCATTTTACCTCAAAATGGAAAAAGGAAAAGTTGTCAGACAGGTGAGAAAAGAATAACACAGGCAGAACTTGGGAAATACGGTTGAAACTGCCGGGGTGCGTGGAATTCGTCAGTAACTTGGTGCATCACTTTATTTAAAAACGAGAATACCACTTAAATCAGTAACACAATAGATCTATACTTTAAATTTCAATAAGGCATAAGTCACCATACTCCAAGTTAGAAGACAAGGAGAAGATAGTTTCCCAGGATGTTCAGCAAAATCTATAGTATCAGGAAAGTAAGGATAAACACCTGAATTACACCGGCAAAAAATAATCAGTAGTGCAACAGGGAGCTTAAATAAAAATAAACAACAAAACACACTATCAGCTGCCCACTTAATCTGGAAAGTACAAAATTAACACAAGGCACACCTCTTTTTTTTTTTTTTTTTTCCTCCAGTACCGGGAATCGAACTCACGACCTTGCGCTTGCCAGGCAGGTGCTGTGCCTCTGAGCTAAATCCCCAGCCCCAAGGTGCACCTCTCTACCCATCACCTTTACAAAGATCGGGTGAGTATACTCTCATTCGCTGTTGGTAGGAAAACACATTGATTCAGTTCCTTACAAAGGAATCTGGCAGAGATTAATGCCTTCTACCTCAGTGATTCCACTTTTTTGGTTTTCGACATAAGACAAATACTTGTGCACATACAATGTACCAAAAAGAAGTATTGTTATTACAGCTTGTTGATAAAAGCTAATGAAGGATATAATCTACGTGTCCAGCAAAGGGGGAGTGGCTTAAAAATTGTGGCACACATACCAACCCTACGTACTAGTACAAAGTGGTTAAAAAGAATGAGGGAGATGTACAGGTATTAAAGTGAAAATGCAAAATGCAGACCACCATGTACAATATCCTCCCTTGAAAACAAGATATTTATCTCTTTCTCTCTCTATCTCTCTCTATAAATATTTATATATCTCTCTAACCTATCTCTAGCCCTATCCCTATCTCTATACCTATGTTTAGATCTAAATCTATAAGATACAATTTCTGTTATATCCCACCATATTGTTTGAAATTTTATGAATAAGACTGTGTTGTGTATTTAGCTTGTACTTAAAAATAAAAAATATTAAGTAGTGTTACTTCTGATTTCACTACAGGTGAAAAGATAGAATTTCTGAGGTATTCCCCCTGGAACGGAAAATTAAAGTAAAAATCTAAATGTTCAGCCTGTATCCGTCATTTGCCCCTGTGGGCCTTTCTCTTTCTTTTTCTCTGTTTGATTAAGCTGAGGGGAGGGAGAGTCAGGCCCTGGGCAGCCCCCGAGCTGACCATGCTGGTCTTGGAAGTAGCAGATCAGAGGGGCTTGGAAAGAGGTAGAAAGTTTGCCCTGAAGCTCTACTATCCGAAGGGCCCTCTCGACCCTGGGGAAAGGGCTGCGAACAGTGAGACATCAAGTGGAAGTAGCATTTCCCTGCCTCGCCTGGGAGGACTCTGCCCATCCAGAGTCCCTGGCAGCTAAACAGCGACAAAGCAAGAAAGTCACGCCTGCTCCGCGGCAACTTGAACTCCCACCAACAGCCGCACTGCTTGGGCTCAAAAGACCCGCTTCTTGCTTGCACACTGACTGCATGATGCCCTGGCTTGCTCTCACGAAGCGGGGCAGCTGTGTGCAGGAGCTGAGCTCTAGACTCCAAAGCAGCAACACTGCCTAAGGCGGGGGATGGAAGAGGGGGGACTCACCTGGTGCTCAGGTCCTGGGCCCCGGCTGCCATCTTCCCGCCCAGCCCTGCCTGGGCCTGGGACTGTGGACTCTGATCTCTCGGTGTCGCTGTCTAAGTCCACAGTGGTTGCCAGGCCCGAGCAGGAAGTCTGCTGGCCAGTGAGGATTTGTGAGACGACGCTCCGCCCCAGTGGGGAAAACAGAAGTGAAAGTATTTATTCAGCTTCCTCCTTGCTGCCCCAAAGAGATCTCTCCCTCCTGCCTCAGCCGGAGGAACTGTCACCGTTCCTGAAACGTGGGAAGGAGGAGGCTGACGGTTTGGGCCTGGAGGACAGGGAAGTGCTCGCTAGGGACAAGCAGCGCCAGGTCAGAAAAAAAAATCCACACAAACCAGAGCGTTCCCGCACTGCTGCCTGCCAAGAGGGGGCCTTGGCTGGGGATGCCCTCGTGTTCTCAGGCCCCTGGCTGAGATGGCTGAAAGTGGGGAGAGGGAGGTGAGTGGGAGCCAGAAACTTGCAGTCTTCTATCAGGCCTGGGGCAAAGCGTGTTCTACACACAGTTAGATCCTCACGTTCGGACACAGAGCTGCAGAATGCAGAAATGCTCAGAGTTATGAAATGGGGTGGGTGGGGCGGTTCTTAGTGCTCCTGGAAATCAGCGAGAGGTAAGAGGCGGCATTCCAAGTCTCTGGAGCCAGAGCGGAGCCACCTGATGACAAGAGCAATCCAGGCGCGTGAGTTTCGGTGCCTTGGCTGTGGGCTGCTTCCCGTAGCCAGGGGTGACGAGGAGAACATCCAAGGTGCCCTCCAGAATCCTGAGAGGGCAGGTGCTTCTCACCGGGGCAGATGGAGGTGTGAACCTGGGTGACCTAGGATTGAAAGCGCAGGGTGACGCAGGCGGGGAGACCTCCATCTCCATCTCAGGGTGACGCCTGGGTGCTCCAGTTGGCTTCTCGGTCACTGCTCCATCAAGAATGAGGAGCGACCCAGAGGACTCACCCCGTACTGGTACCGAGTCAAATAGGAGCAAAAAACAAAGGAAAATAGAGCCCTAATATACAGCCGGACCCCAGACTTCCGGGCAGAACCCCTGGACACAGCCAGGAAGGCGGCAGAAGCCCAGGTTTGTGACTCCGGGGCCCCAGATGACAGGTGCAGAGGCCGAAGCAGGAAGGGACTGGGCCTGGCAGTGGCAGAACCCTCAAATGATGGATTCGAAATCTTGTTCCTCGGGATCTGACTTCTTCCTGCTGTCAGTAAGGGTGCAGCCCAGTGACGCTGGAAAACATGGGGAAAGGGGTTTCTATTGTCACTCTACTTGGGCTCCTTCCCTACAGAAGTGAACACTGGGACAGACGCCAGGACGCTGAGGAGGGCATCTTTTCCAGTGGGCAGGGCAGGGTCACTGTGCCTACAGGTACTGTCTCTGTCTGTCTCTCTCTGACTTTGACGGGCAGAGGGGGAGTAAGCTAAGCCTGTCTTTGGCACAGCTGCCCTCTGCTCTTGTTCTCCTTGGGGCATAGTGACTCCGGCAAGGCCTGGCCCCCCTACACCAGCCCATCCTCATGTCCCCTCTGCCCCAGGACCACGGCTCACCTGGCACCACAGAATGAACCAGCCTTCGCCTGGGTCTGCTAAGATCACAGCTGGAATTAGAGGCCAGTGAGCTGCAGGCTGGGCAGGGAGATCTACTGTGACCGGCCTTCATGGTGGGCACTGCCACACTTGGGCTGCTCCTGCTAGTGCGGACAAAGGCATTTATGTCGGGGGGTGGGGGGTGGTGGAGACAGCTGGGCACACAGGACACTGCAAGAGCGATGGCAGTGTTAAGCGTCTGTGGGTCTCTGCAGAGAAAGCGGTTTCTCTGATCCACAAAATGTCACACACCCCAACCTCGGCGTAAGAGGCAGGGTGAACTTCTAAAACTCCTGCTGGACTAATCAGAGGGAAGTAGCCGAACCTCGGGTGCTTCCATGTGCAAGGAGCACCCGCAGCAAGAAGCAATCTGCTACTATGGAAGCAGCTCAGGCCCCTGGAGCCTGAAAAGCTCAAGAGCAAGAGAGACTGTGATGAGGAAGGACCCCAGGGCGACGGGTTCGTGAGCTTCACAAGAGCGGCAGCGGTTCCCAGCTCAGTAGCAGGGATACTGACAGAGGCGGGCAGCTCCAGTGTCTCCTAGGAAGGGACTCACTGATCTGCAGGACACACCTGGTCCCTGGCTGCCCTCTCCCCTCTTCAGCGGGAGACTTCTCTGACCGGAGGCTTAGTGGACGGGGTGAGCCTGCTGCGTGCAGGGTCTCCCTGCAGACATCCCACCTGCAGAAACCGGGAGTCTGCGCACTCCACGCTCACCGGCAGAGGCGCAGGGCTGGCATGGGCGGGGCCGGCGCGGTTGACTGCAGCAGCTTGGAGAAGCCCAATTCTGAGATCTGGTTTTAGGGAACCCTGAACTGTGGCAGTCTAAGGCAGGACCCCCCCCCCCCGCCCTCTCTTATCAGGAATAAAGCAGGTACCTGGACCCCCTCCCCACCTCTCCTCTGTTTTTTGTTTTTGCTTCTCAGTTGGTTTAGAACCCAGGTAGGGAAAAGGATGAAAGTGGCAAAGATGTTTAAGTGCACAGGATTGCTGCAGGCGGAAATGTGACTACTCAGGGGCTGGGTGTTGCATTTGTGGGTGGATAGGAAGGGATCCCGTGTGAGAATAGGAAGAAGCTCAGGAGCGAGGGGATCTGAGCAGAGAGGGAGGGAAAGGGAGCCCTGGGGACCCCGGTGGACCATCCCCGAGAAGCACCCCCAGGACGCCCACAGTGCCGTGCTGCAGGAGGAGGGAGGGGGCAGCCCAGGGCCACATCCGGGGTCCCTGCCCGCAGGCACAATCATCGTGGCCCCCGCGCTCAGGTTTAGCCTCTGCTGTGCCCGCAGGTGCACTGGCAGGTCCTCCCGGTCCCCTGCCTACTGATGGGCAGCACCAGAGTCTTTGCAGCCGACTGATACCGCTCATGCGGTGCCCACAGCCACAGGGCACAAGCGAGGAAGGAGCGCTTGACTTCGCGCTCTCATGTCAGCGCCTGCGCTGCAGGCTGAGCGCAGGCCCCGTACCGCGTTTCCTCCCGAACGTGGCTCCAGTCCGTCTGCACTCCCCTCTACTGGCCGATCGCGGTATTGCAGACTGCCTGGGTTGCGGCGTCGGTGGGAGACAACGGAAACCGAAAATCCTCTTCTGGCTCTGAAATTGCCTAAATACCTTTGCACTGACCGTAGAAGCTACGCTATTTCCTTCTAATAAAGGCGAACCGATTTAAAGCGTGGGTTCTGGGTTTTAATATTAGATAGTCCGTGAGGATAAAGAGGCGTGACCGACACTGACTGGCCTGTTAGTCCCTTCTGCCCGGAGCCCCGAGAGGGAGCACCTGGGAGGGAGCCCCGTCCTTCAGCTCCCAGCGGGCTGCAGCCTCAAACCTGCCCGCCGTCCCGTCCCCACCCCCGGCCCTGTAGGGTGACCCTGAGAACCTGGGGTTTGATCACTGGAAAGAACTCAGAGTTAATCTAAAGCGTGTGCACACATCAAACACAGCACAAAAATAGATGGCACAGAACGAAGTTTTAAGAGAAGACGCCGGATGTGCTTCGCGCCGGGATGGTGCGGAAATGCCCCCCCCTACCCACCCTTCACACCTCTCCTCCCTTGGGCGGCCTTCACGCCCGCCAGCGTTCAGGGTCCTGGGCCTCCAGAAGGTCTTGGAACCCAACCTTCTCAGCTTCAGCCAGCTGTACTGACTGGGAGCCCGACCTCCTTGACTGAAGACGCGCCCTCCACAGGGTTCATCACTGTGCTACTCTGGGGACTCCTGGCGGGCCCCTCCCCTGGGCCCTTTTAAGCCTGCCTGGCTCCCAGCGAAGGATCAGGCAGCTCCTCTCTAAGGGTGGAGCTAAGACTGCAGGTGTCAGACCCTGGGCGGAAAGGGTTTTTTTTTTTTTTTTTTTCCTGTTTGTGGTCCACTGGGGTCCCATGGGGCATCTGGGCATCGTAGTAGTGGAGGAAATGGTAATGGTGTAGCTGGGGACAGACTAGAGAAGGGTGCACCGGGAGCCCACGATGACCTGAATGAATAAGAAAGCCTTTTACAGCACGAGCACTCCCAATGGGTCTGCAAAACCCTCCATGTTTGTTACTAAGCGTGGTTAACTGGAATGTCCCCTGAACTGTCCTGGATCTTAGGACTCCCAGGTTGAGCACGTGTGGTGAGAGAAGGTGAGGACCCAGTGACGGTCTCAGTAGCCTCCACCCAGCACATAGGAGCCCAGGAGCCTGTAAGTGGACGGTTCGGTGAAGCTGAAGGCCCATAGCAGGGACCTCAGTGCTGCAGAATAAACAAATGGTGGAGGAGAGGGTATCTTCATAGTGTTGGTGGTTATGAGACAGGAAACGGGTTGTCCAACCTTGGGAAGAGGCTTAGTCCAATGTCCCTGCACAGAAGCAAGGGCTGAAGCACACCTGCTGGCCACTGACTAGAGGAGCCGTGTGGAAGAGGTGGAGTCCGCCTTATTCTGCACGTTCTGGAAATGTGGTAGGTAGGAAATGGCTGAGGCTGAACACCTTGGGCTCTCCAAGGAGACCTGTGCCCAGGCAGGGAGGGGCTTGTGCCTTCTTAGACCATCACCAGTATCAGTTCTGGTTTAGGGGAACTTGAAAATGAAGCCTGCTGAATTCTCCCCCACCCCAGGGCCAGGTAGGTCTCTGACACTGGTGTGGCAGCCCCGTGCAGCTCCTTTGCCTGGTGCATGTGTTTCTTCTGGATGCAGATGCTATGCTCATGGAGCAAGTGGGCAGCACAGTAGCTCTAGGGATCACCTGGGTCTGGCCGGGTCACTAAGGGGCCCTGGGTGGCCTCTTATGAGTGGCTCCTGGGCTCCACCAAGGCATCCCGGTGCCCTGCTTTGCTGAGCATCCCCTGTCTCAACTTGTAATGGGGTTTGCCAGGTGCAGGAGGGCTTTAAGTTGCCTGTGGAGCATTTTTCAGGAGCAGGTGGCTGCCAGGGTCTCCAGGTCCAATGGCTTTGTGGATAAGATGCTGGGCACGGTGATGCAGGTTCTCAAAACAATGACACTGAAGTTGAAAACTTGCCCGTCTCACTTGATACTGATCTGTTTTATTGGGGCATGACAGGAATGCAGGGTGAGTTCTCCGAGATCAGATGCCATTTCTGCAGCCACTCACCAGCTGAGAATGGCTTGTGGTCTCAGTCTACTACACGATAGCTTCTCCAGAGAAAGGGGAGACCGCGAGCACTCCTCACGTACACCGTCTGTGGTCTATAACTCGCTCCCCGCCCCCCCCCAATACCTCCAGGGCAGAGCCATGGTGAACAAAGAGCCTGGGTGTGTCCAAGGCTTGGGTTCCGGGTTGAGTCATAAGGGTGATAATGGTAACCTTGAACTTTGCTTAAAAGAACCGAGTACTGAAGTTGGGCCCTTACCAGGTGGGTCTTGGGTTTACCATTTGTCAACCAGACAATGACTGATGCAGAAATCCAGAGACTGCTTCTTGTATTTGTTGAATAAAGATGAAGCCAAAATAACCAGCCAGATCCTGTACAGAACTCCAGGGCACACAAGACTTTGCCAAACCTAAGAGCAGACATGTCCGGGGCATGTAAGGCAGGCATGCCACAGGCTCGGTCCTCTTCTCAGAGACACCTAGGAGTGGTCACAGACCCAAGGAGAGCCAGAAACTGGGCCCACAGCGTATCTTTCCAGTGCCTCACAGGGCGAGGTGGTCTCGTGTTAATGAAATGTTACAGACCAGAGAATCTGACTGGAAGTGTTCTGGGTAGGTCTAGAGGTACCTGACTGATGAACTGTTCATCAGTACCCTGTGTCTGTATGTGTCTAAACTGACTGGCCTGGCAGCTAGTTACCAACTCCCCATGGAGTCAGAACACAAAGGATCTATTTTAACAAATGATTCATGTGCTTAGGCTCAGACTGCATAGTGTGTCTCATGTACAGTGAGCAGAGCTCGGGACTGGGTTGGATGCATTTCACGCTGCTGGGTGTCATCAGAGGTGTAGGAAGGGTTTCCATATAGAATTCAGATTCCTTTCTGTTGCTTTTCCTTTTCTGTTATCTCTTGCCCTACCTCCCAAGAAGCCTGGCTGCTGGGGGCTTTTCCCCTGGCTCTCCCTAGCAGGAAGCAATGTTTCCATCTACATTTTTGCCTGCCAAAGCAAGACTGGCTGCTCACAGGGGCAGGCAATACGAAACAGGAAGCTGCTTCTTCAGTGGCTGCTTCCTGAGTTTTTCGGTTTCTCCCCAAAGTCTGCCTCTGTTGTTCTCTTTGCACACACCTCAGGCAGTTGATTTTCTGAATAGCACCCAGAGTTTCTAGCCGTTGTGGTGGTTAGGAGCAGAGCTCCCTGTCTCACTCCTCAGCAGACTAGCCCTGACCCCTTCGACACCCAGCCCAGGTCCTGGGTGCCACTGGTGTCTCCCAATGGAGACCCCTCCCAATCAAGGAGCAGAAATGCCTATGCCCAAGAGCATCAGACCTTTGCTAGGAGACGCACAGAACTATATGTCTGTCTACTTTTGTGTTCACGAGAGTGGACCTGTTTCAGTAAAGCAAATAACAGAGTAAATAATATGCTTGGGGAGAAGGCCTGGACTATGCTAGAACATCAGTTGAGACAACACAAACCTTCTAGACATATGAGACACTCAAGACGCTGCTGAGAAGCCTAAGAATTTTTCTTCTTTGCTAAAGGAGGAGATTGGGTGGGAGGATCTGATGGCATCTTTCTTGCCAAGGCTTTTGAACCACAGCCTTCTCTCTGCCTCCTTCCTGCTCTGACTTTCCTCAGCATCTAAGAAAGAAATGCCACGGCTCCCCAAAAGTAAGACCTGGTAGGAAAATGATCAGCCTTGTAACTAGAGATCAAAGATGCCAGCCCTGACTCTCGGACCTTGTACAGCCTCCCTGCTGGGTTACACAGGACCACGGGAAGCCCCATCTCCCCTTCTTCTGAAAGAATTGTGCATGTCCACGGTTCAGCAGCTGTGAGTGTTGGCTCCTGAGCAAGAGCAACGGGAAGTTCAGTGGATGGGTCGTTCCCAAAAGCTCATAACCTTGAAGTTTAGGACAAGAGTGGCGGAAGCTTCTAGGGACACCAGCACACTCCCTCCAAGGATAAGAACCCCGCTGGGTCCCAGGGTGTCATAGCAAAACCCCATATCTCCCTGGGTCTAGGTAAACAGGAATGACAGATGTGGTCTCCTTCCTTGCCCGGGGCTGTCCAGTAGGATAGGGTGGATGCTTTCCTTTCTAGAACAAAGAGTAGCTCAGCCTTTGCCCCACAGCACATGGCTGTGGTGACACAGTCACCCTGTCTAATAGACCCAGAGACCTCTGGCCCCCAGCCCTGTGCCCTGCTGGCTGGGGTGGAGCTGCCCTGTCTCCCCATGGAGCAGGAATCCCCACCCAGAAGCACCCCAGTTGGTTTCTCATTGGGCCGTGTTTTCCTTGGCCCCCCAGCCTCCTCCATCCCCCTTCCCAATAGCACCTAGTTCCTCTGAGTGAATGACCTCTCCGCTTAGGTACAAGAGTAGAGGGACTGTCCATCAATGTGTTTGAGCAACCCGGCCAGCCAGGGAAGTTGGACTCTGGAGTAAACAGTGGTGAAGAATGAAAAGTCAGTAGCTATTCATTAACATCTTAGATGAGAGGGACCAATACTTCCTGACGTCGATTCCTAGAGTTGCTCTGGCTCCTGCCCTGGGTCCTGGCTGTGCGTCAGTTCGGCACTGCTGATCTTGCCCAGGAATTACATCGCTGAGGTCCTTTTTTTCCCTAAGGCAGAGAAACTGGTTTCTCTTGATGGCCAAGAGCCCTGACTGACACAAAATGCCTGTGTTGATTTCCAAGTTTATTGATTACATACTATGCATGTACAGATATTTTCTGTAATAAATGTTAATTCATTAATCCTAACAATAATCTAGTGAGCTGGTGCTACTGCTAGGATCTCCGTTACAGGGATGAAGCCAGCGCCGGGGAAGGGTAAGTACCTGGCCTCAGGACACACAGCCAGCACGTGCGGAGCCACCCACCTGAGCCACCCTCAGAGTTTGCCCGTGCTGCCTATCAGTGCCATTGGTTACAACACCAAGATTAACTAAAAAAGCCAAATGCAATTGAGGTCTGATGAAAAGTGAAAGCTATTATATGCTCGATGTGTAACAGTGCCCATTGTGTATTACTGGGTGACAAACACTGAACAGTGCATTTTATTAAGATGGTATAGCCACTACCTCCTCCACTGCCCCCCCATCACAAAGCGTAGAATTGTTTCCAACAAATTGCAAACTGTGACTATTCTCTTTTTCTGAGGAAGCCTACCAACCACTGTGATTCTCAGTGGTGAGAAGAACAAGGTCAGTGGTTTGGAACTGTGAAGGGAGAGATCCTAGCATGTGCCAGACTGTTGGATCTCTGAAAGCTTATCTATAATGGCACGTCTCTAAATCTTTGTCAGGTTTATCACTTCCATCGTGGAGTACCTATGACTTAATAAAGCATTCAGAATACTTCATGCTTCTCATTCATCAGATCAAATTACACATTGTCTTCAATATATTGTCTTCAATGTAATGTGCTGCAGTGTTCAGATAGGCTTACTCTGGGGCAAGACCTCTCCTTGCACCATGGCTTTATACCTCGGAGCCATGGACTGAATCTCCTGAAACCATGGACTAAATTGAACCTCTCTTTCTTTAAAGTGTGCATGTCCCAGCAACAGGAAAGGTGACTCATACATGTCTCCAAGTATTAGCATGAACTCAGGCACTATAGTCAACATCTTTGGAAGATCTACAAATTTTTCTTTCACTGGCATGTGGTTATTTGAATAAATGACCATGGATCCTTTTGGGGAAAAACTGAGGGAATTGCTTCTACATGTCCTTGTACTACTAAGGAACCCAGTCCTAGAAAGCATTCTGATGATTCTTCCATCCTACGTAGGACAGCACCATGAGCTTCTCCAGGATGCTGGTATCCTTTCCCTTTGCAGTCTGTTCTGCATCACCTTGCTAGGTTCATATCTCTGAGCACCCCCGCCCCAGGAACGCAGTCACCTCGTGGATGGGTTTGCTAGTTGTGGAAAGTAGAGTCAGCTTTCTTAGGCTTTTGTCCCCAGAGTCGGCCACAGTAGTTTTGGCATCTCTGCTTCTACTTCATTTAATGTGTGAAAGCCTGAAAGAGCCACCCAGGGATATATTAGAATCACTACCGTCAGTTCTTGCCAGGCTGGTTAAACACTGTGGAGCAGAAGAGTACTCCTGTATTAACACTCCTTATTCAGTTATTAACACTGCCCTTATTCAGTTTTATATTTTACCTTCCTCAATTCTGGATCCACCCCAGATCACTACCTCCTGCTGATGCATGGAGGCCAATGCTGCCTCTCACATCTTGCAGCACCACCCAGGACTTGTCCAGTTGAGTCAAGCTGAGAGGCCTCGGCATCATCTGTATTTAAATGAGATGGGGGTTGGGGTGAGGCAGAGGGATTCTTTTGAAAGCCCAGTGGGTTCAGGGGTAGCTGGAATTCAAAGCTGTCATGTGCCTCTACCTCAGTATACAGCCCCATTGGGAGTCTCAGGGCCCTGACTGGCCTAAGAGATCACCTGAGTTTAGAAGTCAGTCTTCTCTGGAGTTCTGCCATTCTTAAAATCAGGACCTATGACAGCCATACCTTGCTGTCTGCCTTCCAGCCACAGACATACAGGTCTCTCTGCTTTAGGCTGGTGATGGATAGATCAGAACTGGCCATTTACTCTTATCAATACATTAGTAGCACTCAGTGATAGTCACCAAAGCACAGTTCTTATATATAGTTACTTTTTCTCTCTTCTTAAATGCAAGCAATTGCACCAGCTACTCTCCCTTTTTGCCTACAGGTGAAAGTTTGGCAACGGTGGTTATAGCATTCCAGGAAAGATCGATATTCCACCTACCATCAGTGGCCCAGCTCCAGAATCACATCCTTAGACTTGGCTTCCTAGGGTCATTATCTTAGTGTGCATTCCTTAGAAGGAGCATCAGAGATTGAATCTCTTAAGCCAGTTATTTATTAGTAGTTCTCTCAGGAGAAGAGGGAAAGGGAAGCCACATAACATGGTAGGAAAAGCTGAGCCACTTGGAGACTAGATTCAGCCTGACTTCATGAAGAACATGTAGTAGTATCTTATCACATCCTTGGTTCCACCTTCAGACAGGGCACTGTCCCCCAGGGCAGGTGGTGGTAACAGCCAGCTGAAGCTTTCACCGGGCTGGGTCTGAGGGTCCCCAAGGCTGAGATAGGGAACCTAGCCCATCCTTTTAGAGTAAGTTTGCAGGTTCACTGATTCCTGTCTCAGAGAAAGAATTTTCAGGATGTATCAGTAAGAGTCACGAGAAAGGTTTATTGGACACAGATTTTAGGATATACCTGGGAGTGGAGTATAAGTGCGCAGAGAAATGAGACTCATTAAGAGTATATTTAAGAAAACAAAAAAACCCAAAATGGTGGGGCTGGGGATTTAGCTCAGCGGCAAAAGCGCCTGCCTGGCAAGCGCAAGTTCGTGAGTTCGGTTCCCGGTACCGGAGAAAAACAAACAAACAAACAAACAAATAAACAAACAAAAAGAGTATATTTAAGGGGATGCCTTTAATATGGATGATCTAATGTGTAATCTAGGATGTGTCTTCAACATAGGTGATCTGGGATGTATGCTCCTACTGTCAGGTTACCCTTCTGATAGGTTATGCCAGAATGCAAGCCATCCACCTGTGTTTGAAGTTGAGATATGCTCCAGACCCCAGATTTATGGGCTTATTGTATCTGTAAGACCTTCAGGAATTTTTAAAAGTAAGTTTACTGGAAGGGAAAAGGCTTGAGTAACTTTTGTCTTTAAGCTGCAGTTCAGTACATTTTAAAATCTCGATTTCCTTCTCTCCTTTGTACTGAAGCAGGAGACTGCGTGGGATCTCAAACAAAGCCTCTCAGACACGGAGCAGGAGAAAGGGTGGTTTTATTGCTGGCATCCCTCTGACTGGAGTCCACCAAAGAGCTGAGGACAAAGCCCTGTTTCCACTTTTATATTGTTTTGTCCTATGGAGCAATTTTTCATTGGAAATCAGCACAAAGCAAAGCTACAGAAGCAAGAGCAATGATTAAAAGGAAATGGAACAGTGATCAAAGAAGCAGGAACTTCAGACAAGCACTTACAAGTCCTCTGTGCTCCACTGACTTTACCTCACAGCTGAACTTGTACGTGGCAGGGATCCAAACCCCCAGTCTCTTCTGAGAGCTCAGCTACATCCACTTCCCAAACCAACTTAGTTTTACAGTTGTCCAGCTTTACCCCAGAAGCTGCTTTCCTCTCTCACTACTCACTTTTTATTTCTTCTGTCCTAGCTCAAACATAACTCCATGTGATTCAGAAAGTCCTCAGGGATGGAGAAATTAGTAGATAACACCCACTGCATTGGAGGTGGGGATATCTGACCAGCAAAAAATTGTGCCAAGACATTAACCACATCTTCTGCACCAGTCAACTGCTCTCATTTGTTTCCTGAATAGCAAAGACTTCCTTGAAGTTCTTCTCAAATTCAGCCTCCAGTGTAAGTCCCATTTGGCCAAACTCAGGGTCCTGGAAATAAAATAATAAAGACAAAATAATGATGTTGCATGTCAGTGTCATCAAATACCTTGTAATTGAGAATGATCATGACTGTCTCTTAGATACTCTAAATTGCACTAACTAGGTTTGTAGTGGTTGATTAACTGTGTCAACTTGAGAAGTTTAGAAACTTAACTAAGTTGGTTCAGCAATTCTATAGCCTAAGGTGTAGAGGACCTGCCCTAATGCAGCTGTCTGCACCCTAGGTTGTACAGGACCCACCCTCTAGATCTGTGAGGTATATCAGTGGTATCTTCATTGGGATTGCATTGTTTCTGTTTAACAATTTTAGTAGTATGGCCATTTTCACAATGTTAGTTTTGCCTATCCATGAGCAAGGAATATCTTTCCATTTTCTGAAATTCTCTTGGATCTCTTTTTTCAGAATGCTATAATTTTCACTGTATAGATCTTTTATTTCTTTTATTAGATTGATTCCTAAGTATTTCAACTTTTTGGATGCTATTGTGAAAGGCAATTTCCCTTATTTCTCTCTCAGTGTGTTTGTTGTTTGTGTGTAGGAATGCTATTGATTTTTGAGTGTTGACTTTGTATCCAGCTATGCTACTGACTTTGTTTATTAATTCTACAAGTCTTTTGATTGAGTTTTTGGGGTCTTCCATGTAGAGTATCATGTCATCCATGAATAATGATAATTTCACTTCTTCCTTTCCTATCCTTATTCCTTTTATTTCTCTCTTTTGTGTAATTTCTCTGGCTAATGTTTCCAGACTGTGTTGAATAGGAGTGGTAACAGTGCACATCCTTGTTTTGTTCCTGATTTTAAAGTGAAAGCTTTCAGTTTTTATCCATTTAGTATGATGTTGGTTATTGGTTTGTCATAGATGACTTTTACCAGATTTAGGTAAAGCCCATCCATGCCAATTTTCTCTAGGGTTTTTATCATGAATAAGTGTTGGTCTTTATCATAAGCTTTTTCTGCATCTATTGAGATGATCATGTGATTCTTATCTTTAGCTCTGTTGATATAATGTATTACACTTATTGATTTGCATATATTGAACTACCCCCGCAGTCCTGGGATGAATCTCACTTGATCATGGTGTATTATCTTATTGATGATTTGCTGCATTCTATTAACTAGTATTTTATTGAGAATTTCTGCAACTATGTTTGTTAAGGAGATTGGCCTATAGTTCTCTTTTTTGGTTGGATCTTTCTATGGTTTTGGTATCAGGGTAATACTTGTCTCTGGGAATGAGTTGGGGAGAATTGCTTCCCTTTCTATTTCATTAAATAGTTTGAGAAGAATCAGCACTAAATTTCTAAATTTCTTGTAGAATTGAGCTGTGAATCCATCAGGACCTGGGCTTTTCTTTGTTGGTAAGTTTTTAAAAATACATTTTCAATTTCGTTGTATGATATTGGGTTATTCAAGCACTTCATATCTTCTTGATTCAGTTTTGGCAATTCATATGTATCTCAGAATCTGTCCATTTCTTCTGTATTTTCCATCCTATGGGAGTTTTTGAAGTAGGTATTGATGATCTTCTGAATTTCTACAGGACCTGTAGTGATTTCACCCTTTTCGTTCCTTATTGCTTGGATTTGAAGTTTTTCTTTCCTTTTCTTGGATAAGGTTGGCTAGGGGTTTATCAATTTTATTTATTTTTTTCAAAGAACTAACTCTTTGATTCATTAATTTTTTGTATTGTTTTCTTAGTCTCCATTGCATTAATTTCTGCTCTGATCTTCATAATTTCCCCTCTTCTTTGGATTTTGGGCTTGATTTGCTCTTCTTTTTTTAAAGTTTGAGGTGCAGCATAAGATTGTTTATTTGTATGCATTCTATTTTCCTGACGTGGGAATCCATTGCTATAAATTTCCCTCTAAGGACTGCTTTCATTGTGTCCCACAGGTTGCAGTAGTTTGTATCTGCATTTTTGTTTGATTGTAGATATTGTTTAATATCTTCTGTGACCCAGTGGTTGTTCAGGAGGATGTTATTTAATTTCCATGTGTTTATGTATGCAGTTTTTGCAATTTCTTTTGTCATTAATTTCCAGTTTCATTGCACTATGGTTTGACAATATGCATGGGATAATTTCAATTCTTCTGCATGTACTTAAGCATATTCTATGTGCTAGTATATGGTCTATTTTAGAAAGTGTCCCATGTGCAGCTGAGAAGAACGTGTATTCTACTGTTGTTGGTTGGAATACTCTATAAAGGTTTACTAAGTCCATTTGTTTACACATTTGCTTAGTTCTGTTATTTCTTTGCTGATTTTTTGTCTTGTTGATCTATCTCCTCATGACAATGGGACGTTAAAATCCTCTGTTACAATTATGTTATTACTTATTTAATTTTTCATGTCTGTTAAAATTTGCTGCATATAGTTGGGTGCTCCTACATTTGGTGCATATATATTTATGATTGTTATCTCTTCCTCTTGCAATTTTCCCCTAACAAGAATGTAGTGACCTTCTTTATCTCCTTTGGTCATTATTGGTTTGAAGTTCACATTGTCTGCAAACAGAATAGCTACTCCTGCTTTTTTCTGGGTTCCTGTCACATGGAGTATTGATTTCTATCCTTTGACTTTCAGTGTATGGATTTCCTTTTGAGTTAAATGTGTTTCTTTTATATAGCATACTGTTGGACTTTGTTTCTTGATCCACTCTGCCAGTCTGTTTCTTTTGACTGGTGAATTAAGGCTATTTACATTAATAGTTATTACTGATATTTGTTTACTTATCTTTGTCATGTTATTTTCACCTTGTTATTCCTATACTTTCCCCCATCTGTTTAATTGCTTACCTTGCTTAGTGGTTCTTTTCTATTGTTGGTCTTGAAATTGTGGTCATTGTAGAATTGAATTGTGGCCAACTGTAGAATATCTTTCAATATACATAGGATTGGTTGGGTGGTCATGAATTTCTTCAGCTGGACTTTGTCATGGAAGTATCTTATTTCTCCATCAATTTTGAAAGACAGTTTTGGAGGGTACAGCAAACTTGGTTGGAAGTTGTTTTCTTTCAGGACCTGAAATACTTCACTCCAAGCTCTCCTTGACTTGATGCTTTGTGTTGAGAAGTCTGCTGTGATTCTGATGGGATGTCCTTCATAGCTGATCTGTTTCTTTTCCCTAACAGCTTTTAATATTCAGTTCTTTTGTTCAATGGCTGAGATCTTGATTATTATATGTCTAGGCGTAGACATATTTTGGTTATGGCTAACTGGAGTTCTATATGCCTGACTTACTGTGATGTCAGGGTCTTCTCCCATGCTTGGGAAATTTTCTGCTATTACTTCTGTATATAATCTTTTTATGTCATTCATGTTGCCTCCTGCTCTTTCATTGCCACCTATCAGTCTTATATTGTTTTTTTTTTTTTGCTCATCTTGTAGATGTTGAATTGTTATTTGCTGGTTCCTTGTCATTTTAAGAGATCTTTTCTTTCATAATCATTAGCTGCATTGCTGTCTTCAATGTCTGAAAGTCTATCTTCTGTTTCATTCAAGTGGTTTTACCAGCTTTCAATGGAATTTTTAATTTCTTGATATCTTTTTGAATCTGTTTCATGCATTTTAATTCTTTCCTATACTGTTCATTCAGGGTTTCCATCATTATTCTGTGTTACTCTATTTTTCATCTATGTCTTCTTTTGATATGCTGAGCAATTCTTTCATTATGGCTGTCATTTCTTTTTTACCTGAGCTATTACTTCTGATCTGATTTCTTGTATAGCCTGATGTAGCTGGGTATTTTTTGTTTTTTTTACTTCAGTTGCTATCATTGAAGAAATTTCAAGTGTGTAACTTCCATGTTCTTCCCTGTTTCCTGGACTTGTTCTGGGTCGGGTGGAGAGCTGAGATTGTGTTTTGCTTCTTTTTATTATCATTTTTAAATATCCTCAGGTTTCCTGGGATTCAGGGTCATTCCTGAGGCTTTCCAGGTCAGAGGGATTTCCCAAGGTGGCAGCAGGGGCATAGCCAGAGGCCTGGGGGTCCCAAACTGCTCATGAGGCTTCCCAGTCTGAATGACCTTCCCTTGATGGAAGCAGGGGTGGAGCCAAAGGCCTGGGGGTCTCAGACAGCTCACTGAGACTTCCTGAGTCCAAGCAGCCTTCCCTCAATGGAAATAGGGGAGGAGCCAGAGGTCCAGAAGTCCCAGATCATTGACCGAGGCTTCCTGGGTTCGAGAGACCTTCCCTCAATCCATATTTCTTATTAACTGGACAGAAATGTGAAATCATTATCACAATTTGGGACCATTACTTATTTGGCTATGGTTGTTTATTTCAATGAGAATTGGAAAAGTAGCCTGTTCTTTGTAAGAATTCAAACAGAAGAAGTGTGAAATCAATGATCATTTCCTCCCTGTTGCCTCTGTTTCCCTCTGGTGATCCTGATTAAATATGTGGTTCATGCACAGGGGACAGATCCAGAGTTTGGGATTTCTATAGCAGGACATGGAGACCATAGACTACATTCTCTTCTGTGGGTCTCAGGAGCAGGAAGGGCTTGGCTCTTTTCCATGCACTTCTGTTGGAGGGGAGAGTGAGCTCTTGTGAACTTGGGGGCCATTCTGGATGCAGTGACACCTTCTGACTCATTGTTTCTTAAATCTTAAACTAAAATGACCCCATTTGCTTCCAGAAACTTTGCTTGTGATAGCTTGTTCCAGGAAGACAAGAGAAACCAACTTTCCAGGTACAATGAAATGACAGGCAGAGAGAACCAGTGGAAAGAAACTGAAATGGAAGCAGAGACAGAAAGCTGCTTACCTTGAAGAAGGTCCTGTGGTTCTGAAAGATGAGGCGCATGTCCTGCACAAACCCTTCCACTTTGGCATAATCCTTCTTAGTTAACTTTGTCTTGATTTTATCCAACCACATGTGTTCCTTTGGAACTTCAGAAGGTTCCTTATTCTGATGACAAAAACACCAATGTGATTGCTACTAGCGTAGTTCCATACTTACCTTCTACAGATTCCCATAGAATCTAACAGAAATACAAAACAAAGAGCACAGATCTTGTATTCTTACTCCCAGGAGATTAAGATCGAATCCCACAAGTGTTCATTTCAGTCTCATAACATCATAGTGGCCTGTGATCATATTGTTACTTACATAATAATAATATGGAATTTTGGTGAAAAAGGAGCTCTCAGAACAGCAGTAGACCTTTAAGAGGAGAAGTTCACATTTCTGCAAGAGAAGGGAGCCATCAGTGAAAAGCAGCTTGAAAATAAGAAGCCCATATACATAACTAGACATAAGGCATAACTCACACCCATCTCCTGGAAGTTTCCCCAAATGTGTGGTTCTTGAAAACAAACATGTAATAGCTCAGTTATTTTTTTTCTTGCAAATAGATGTGTTTGTGATATCAACATGTTGGAAGCATGGCTTGGAAGAGCAGGCTCCCTTTGGATACCATTTCTCTGACCCCAGGCCTGTTTGTACTTCTTGGAAGGGAAGAGAAAGGAGAAGGCTTAGGGTTACCAATAACTCACCAACTGTTCCTCAGCCTGCATCTGCCTCTCCAGAATCTCAGATTCCTGATAATGCTGTTGGATTTTGAAGGACTCTATCCTGCAGAAGATGCAACTCCATGGGTTCCTGAGGAGTTCAATATAAAGTGAGCAAAGGTCAAGACCCCTAGAATCAGCTGCCACTGTCCTGTTTTCAGAAATGGCTGATGGGCTCAGCTGTGGACAGGAAGGGACTTCCAGAGTGTCCAGACCCCTACATGGGACCTTGAGCTGTCAGCCTCCCTCCAATCAATGGGGCAGCCAGTGGTCACTCCTTAGAAAGTGGAGTCATGGTGAGTGGCAGAATCTCCTTTCATGAGGAACCCAGCAGTAGGACACTGGGCTTTAACCCCCGGGGATCTAGACCCTCTATCAGCCCACTGAAATCTGGTATAATGTGGGAACCAGTCATGCTTTTTTCTTTCCTGAATAAGTACAGAACAAAAACAACTGGTGTTTCCCATTCCCAATTCCTTGGACAGGAGACCTTGCTGCAAAACTTTGTATGGCCAAAGGGCCCCAGTCACCAGCCTTCACATGTCAGAGAAGAGGTCTCTGGTAGCACAAATAACATGAGCTAACTGCTGCCAGCATCTTCATGCTGCTTTCTGGCTCATACTACTAGATCTCAGTCCCTAACAACCCTTGGGAGTTTCCCTAAACATGTGTGGCTCTTGAAAACAGGTGTGTAATGTCTGGTTTATTTTTTTCTTCCTACATTGAGACACAAACAGAAACTCTGTGGGGGGAATGTGCAAAGCAAGAGGAAGGATCCCTAGAGGGGATCTCACGTACTTCTCAGCTTCCACAGGTGGCAAATGACAGTACTCATGGAAGGCTCTGGAGCAAGTATCACAGCAGAACAGTGTTCCCCCATCCCTGCACACCTCACATTCATCTGAGTTCCTCAGCTAGAAGACAAAAATGACATCCACATCACCAGGTCTGGCGAGACTCTACAAGGCTTCCACTGTAGGAATCCTGAAGTGCAGCCTTTGCCTGAGCCTGTGTGGACACACATATGCTTCTCCCAGGACTTTAAGGGTCACCATGGAGTAGAAATTTCAGAACAAGACATCTTGGTCTGTAGAGACATACAAAGGAGGGGGTTAGTGTCAGATCAGAAGAGTTTTCTTATGAAACCACAGATTCTAACACAGAAATGTAAGCAACAAAACAGGAGCATGATTTGACAGTCTGTCAAACTCATCCTGTCAATCTGAATAATTTTATTATCTTGCAGATAAAACAAGATCCTGAAATAAAGCATCAAGTCCAGTTGCCTATATAACAATGATAAAATTGACTCACCCCAGGGTGATTTTCTTAGAATTTAATATGATGGGATAAACTTCTGAGATATCACTGCATCCCATAGTCTGAGGCATAAGTTCTCCACGAGTTGAAGAAAGGGTCACAGGAAGATTTCTTAGACTATGGGTCCTGTGCCTAGAGGTCCTGTGACAGTGTCTCTTGGGCACAAATAACTGTTGTAGGCAACTGAGTTAGATAGAAATATTATAGGCAGTCAGACAGGGTCAAGCCTTCCAAGGAACCAGCATAGAAGACAAGATTCCTTGCAAATAGAGAGGAGGTGCTTGCTGTGGGCCAGATCTCAAGACAAAAGGTTAAAAAACACACCCACTTACCTCCTTCGGTATGGACTCAGGGATTGATATTCTAAATAGGTAGCAATCACCTTGGAGAGTCACTGACCCAACCACCTATAGGAAAGTCCCCGTTCTGTATTCATAACCACTTGCTCCATAATTCACTTCCCCATTTGATCCCTACTTAATCAATTTTACCTGAACAATTCTTATTGCCTGACCATAGCTTTGTCTCACCTCATGCCCATCTTGTGATTTCCCATTTTTCCCCCACCTTGGACCCACCTGGAAAAGACAGGTTTCCTGGGCAACCCTCTTGGTCCCTCTGTCTGTCTCTCTCTGGGACAGAAGCTTTCTTTCTCGCAATAAATATATTCTTCTCTTAACTTCTGTTGTTCCTAAAATTCATTCTTTGATTTTAGAGAACAAGAACTCATCCCAGGTATCATTCAGATTGGGAGCTTTTCTCCTCTGTATCATAACCAGTGAGTGCAAGAAAGAATAGAGCTCTGGGACCCTGAGGCAGGACCCCCATGACTCAGCAAAATAGGTCTGTCAGGGGTGGAGGCACCATCTCTACTGTCCAGGGTGTGTGGTCATAGCAATTGCCTGGGGTTGGAGACCAAGTGTTTTCTAGCCTTGTTTTCTGGGCCCATAAAAGAGCTGGAGCTTTATTTTATAAAAACGATGAAGAGGTTCCCCCAAATCAACAGGTAGGAGATTTCTCACTAGTCTCAATATGTAGGATCTTTAGCCAAATTTAATTTTTATTTGGAAAGGTCAGAGTGTGACAGCACTTACATCCAAGTGTTGTGTCTTATTCATTAAAAACCAGAGTTTACAGAGGAAATAAAAAGACCAATATGTGTCAGTCTTTGACATTCAATACTCATGTATTCATTAAGAACTGGTTTGTGACTGAGCCCATGACCACGGAAGGGAAACATAGTATAAGGCTGAAATTAAACCTCATTGTTATATGCTAACTGGACATCTGGTAAAATTGGAAGGCCCTAGAAGGCTTACCCATAAATTTCCCTTCTTACTCTATTCCCTTGGGTAAAGTCCCCTAGCTAGTGATATTTCTTGCTGGGGGACCATGTGCCACTTCTACTTACCATCGAGTAGCAGGTTTCAGTTCCCTGTCAGCCACAGAAATAGTCAAATGTGTCAATCACAACCTCCTTAGGAGCCAGGGTGCACCTTGCCCTGTCCAGCCCCTGTTTGTTCTGTTCTCCCCTGTGGTGCTGGGGTCTGCGTGGCCACCCAGGGCTGTTAATATATGTGACTAATAAACTGTTGCTAATCTCTTCTGTCCAACTGTTGGATGTCATGTGTTTGATCATCCCCAAACCTTAAGGTGGGAATCCTTCCCTCACTCTCAGAATTAAGAGAAAACAGGAAGCCATGTTGGTTGGTTGCCCTCCCCCACTCCAGGATAATCAGCACAGTCATGTCAGTCAGAAGAGATCTCAGTGACATGTGTGCAGGAACCCATGCTTGCCTGGTTCTATCTTCTGTGAAAGAAAGGAGACAATTTGAGAACTGAGTAGTAGCTCTACTCCCACCTAGAAACACCCTATCTCCCCTATGGGTTATTGGAAACTCCTTGCCGTTCTATGAGGAGAGATTGGCCTGGGGACTGGCTCTTCGACTGATGAGTGGCGTGCACAAGGGAAAGCAGGTGGAGGCAAGGACGATGGGGTCAACCTGTGTCTGCCATGGACCATTTCTGACCCCTTAAATGCATCCAGCCTGGGCCATTGTTCCCTCCATTCATGCCATCAGAGTCACTGCAGTGCCGTGTTCCTGTCCGGGTTTCCCTCTTCCTCTAAACCTTAAAGGATAGAATTCCACAGTTTTCTATTCTTGGCCCCAGATCACTGAAGTCACTCTCAAAACTTCAGTTGTACCTTTCTGCCGGCAGTTCCTACTCTGCTCTACACACACACACACTCCTGTGCTCACCAGTGTCTCTTCCGAGGCAACATACAAACAGTGCAAACTCATCCTGTCAAATTTCAGCTTCTCCTCCTGCCCTAGTAAGTCCCTGACTCTTTCTCTGGTGCTTCCATTTGATAAAACATGCACCATCCACCACAAATCTGACAGTCGTGCCTGGTTCTATCCCCTCTCTCCACTCTCAAATCCAGCCCACCCCCAGTCCTATGATTATTAATTTCTAAGTTCTTTTTAAAATTTACTTTGTTCCTGCAAGCTCCACTGCATATAACAATGCTGAGGTCCTAGTGAATGGTTCTACTTCAATTAATTTTTTAAAAAACTGATCTATTTTTGAAAGTCTGTATTTTATCTAAGTTAATGGCACATGAAGATCAAAAATGCTCTTCCTGGGGCCAGGGGCCGAAGGTAATTTGGAACATATCTACGTTATTTCTGAGTGTGAAAAGTAATTAAAGATGAGAAGGCAATAATGAATCATTCTGAGAATTCTCTTGGGCTTTAGGGTAAAAATACCTTTAAGTGACTTGAGATCTTACTCATTTCTTTTTCTTTAAAAAATGGACATAGTATGGGCTCCCAGAAACTTTCACCAAAGGTTCCCACCCTATTTCATGGGGCATTTTAAAGCACAACCCCTACTGGGGTCTGTGAGTGCTGGGCATGGCCCATTTTTCTTCTTATCAACATAGAGACTGATGGATACCATCATCACTGTCAAGAAAGTCAAAGAAAAAATAAGGTAACAGCAAAGGTAACAAATGTCTAAGAATCTTGCATCTTTAATCTTTTTAATAAGAGATTTGAATCTTGGGTTTTTGCTCATTAGCCCAGATGCCCATTAAAATCATCAGCAACAGGCCTGGGCCAGGGCACAGGCATCAGTATTCTGCTTTCAGTAATAGAATGGATAATTCTATACATCCACATCACCTGGGACTTTAAAAGTCATATGGTATAGAGAGTGACCCAAGCTCCAGGGGCCAAGTGGCTGGGGAAGGAAGGTGCTTTGGAGAGACCCCTTGAGAACGAGGTGGTCCCACCTCTAGAGCTCTGATCCCACAGGGACAGAGGGAGGGGGCTTGGGTGAAAGGATGAGAGACAGCTGACTCAGTTGATTATCCAGACTGAGTCACCGTGCCTCTCAGGAGCTGGCTGGACATGTTCTGTCTTAATGAAGGCATCAAATAATGTCTCTGCAGAAAACCCAGTGGACTTGGAACTCAATCACTGAATCTCTAGTCATAAAGCCAATGGGGCAGGCAGCCCCAGAATCTAACTCTGTGAAGACTGCCCTTGTGATGTGATAGAGGTACCAAAGGTCACCTCTGTCAAGGATTTTGGAAATGGCAGTTCTTATATCTCTCTCCTTTAACAGGTTCTGTCTTATATTCAGCCTTAGAGAGGCCATGGAAAACAACAAAAGTCTCACTAACTTCTGTAGAGTCCATATAGCATGGCCATCACTGGTCCATGACCTCTACTTTACTTCCACATAAGGAGAAATCAGCATCAGGGGTGGAAGCCAAGTCTGCACAGCCCATCTGGTGGGGCCAAAGGCTCTCTCCACGAAGGAAAGATTTTCCATGTCAGCAGCTATATTTGTCAGTTTTGTGCAACTATAACAAAATAACAGAGCATGAGTGACTATAGAAAAGAGGTTCATTGAGCTGACAGTTCTGGAGGCTAAAGGACCCTTTCTGATGCTGGTCTTCTCCCTTGCAAAGTCCTAAGGTGACACATGGGAAGAGAGACAGAGATGATAGATAG